GTGTGTGTGTGTCTGTGTGTTGTTAGTGTGTGAGTGTGTGTGTGTCGGTGTATGAGTGTGTGTTGATGTGAGTGTGTGTCTGTATGAGTGTGTGTTGATGTGAGTGTGTGTCTGTATGAGTGTGTGTTGATGTGAGTGTGTGTCTGTATGAGTGTGTGTTGATGTGAGTGTGTGTCTGTATGAGTGTGTGTTGATGTGAGTGTGTGTCTGTATGAGTGTGTGTTGATGTGAGTGTGTGTCTGTATGAGTGTGTGTTGATGTGAGTGTGTGTCTGTATGAGTGTGTGTTGATGTGAGTGTGTGTCTGTATGAGTGTGTGTTGATGTGAGTGTGTGTCTGTATGAGTGTGTGTTGATGTGAGTGTGTGTCTGTATGAGTGTGTGTTGATGTGAGTGTGTGTGTCTGTGTATGTGTATGAGTGTGTGTTGATGTCTGTGTTTTGATAGTGTGTGTGTGTGTGTGTGTGTGTGTGTGTCTGTGTATGAGTGTGTGTGTGTCTGTGTATGAGTGTGTGTGCGTGAGTGTGTGTGTCTGTGTATGAGTGTGTGTTGATGTGAGAGTGTGTGTGGGTGTCAATCATCCTCAATGATGCTCGCTGTGCTCTTCATGCTGTGAAATCTCTCTCCGGTCAAGTAGTTTCATTTTGAGAGGACACTTCTTCATGAATAAATGTTTTTATAAAATATGATGATAAGCTCATCTATTAAAACTACACACTCAAGCACCATGTTTTACAGAAAATTTGCATTTGCTATTCAAAGTTTCCACATATTTATAGAAAACCCCTTTTAAAAATGTACTTGATGTTATTATGAGAGCTGTACATACAGGATAGATCACAAATAATAGAATTGTTACCAAATAACTTTTTTATTCGATATTCTACTCTCATTCAGTGCGAAACATCTCAGATGTGATGTGCTGATGAAACACTGACTTTCATTTTAATCATTAAGATGGACCATTGTTTTTTAGGCAACCTTTTTTAGGAGTCCTGTTTGCAGTGGAACCAGAGTTGTTGTTTTAAAAAATGTAGCTAAAATTAAAACCATACATATTATTACTTTATTTTAGCTAAGGTAACATTTCTTATTTTATCTTGATTATCTTGAAGTAACAAAAACAAAAATTGAAATTGATAAAATATATAGACATATCTATATTAAAAACACACACACACACACAACAAAATTATTTGCTAAAATAAAAATGGAAAATATAAACATAAAAACTGATTCAAAATATGAATTAAAAACTATAATAGTATTTCAATGATACTGACTGGAATGCATAAGCTCTGATATTGTTTTGAATGTTATTTTATTTTTCCATATCAGCCTGGTCTGACTGATGCAGTTCATAAATAAAAACATAACTGTTGGTCAATACCGATATAGTCAGTGATAAATCGTGCATCACTAGTTTTAGACAAACTACAGCGTGATCATCTCTGCACTTTCCTCGCCGTCCAGGTGCTAAACGTCTCTTTGAAACATTGCCTTGTCATTGACATTTTAATTTCCACTAATTACACACTCGTCTGCTGTGTGAAATAAGAGTGACTTTACAAGCTTCTGTGTTCCAGACGAACGCTGAGCAGCAGCTGAAGATCCAGGAGCTGCAGGATAAACTCTCAAAGGTGCTGGTAATATGAAGTTGACAGGGTTCTTGACAGGAATGGGCCTGTAATCATTGTTAAATCACTGCTCTCTTATGTTCAGGAGGGCAGAAAGACTTTGGAAAACCAAGTGAAGCGTCTGGAGATGGTGGAGCGTCGAGAGAATAAACTGAAGGACGACATCCAGACCAAGTCCCAACAGATCCAACAGATGGCTGAGAAGATACTGGTGAGAGAGACGGATCAGACTAGCAAAGATTAAACCACCAAAACGCCTCTTTAAGCAGTTGAGCTGTAACCCACACATAGACACGGACACACACAGACGCGCACACACACATACATATACACACACACACACACACACACAGACACAGAGGTCTCTGTTCACGTCTGTCTTTGCACCGTCATCCTTGTGCGTCTGTCTTCTCAGATTCCTACAGATTAGCATATGACAGAACAAACACACACACACCTCTGCACCTCTCAGTGAGGAACACACACAGACACACACACACCTCTGCACCTCTCAGTGAGGAACACACACACCTTCATGCCGTCCCGTCGAGCAGCTCTCAGCTTCTCAAAGCAAGTTCACTTCTTCGTTTCACCTGGTGATGGGATTTTACTGCTGGCAACTGTTTGGATCTACCTGTTACCTGACAGTGGACTGTGTGTGCGTGTGTGTGCGTGTGCGTGCGTGCGTGTGCGTGCGTGTGCGTGCGTGTGTGTGCGTGCGTCTGCGTGCGTGTGTGTGTGTGTGTGTGTGAGTTTAGGAGCTTGAGGAAAACCTGCGGGAGACTCAGACTACAGCGCAGAGGATGGAAGCCCACCTGGTCCAGAAGGAGCGACTCTATGAGGACAAAATCAAGGTAGAGTTGAACACAGACCTCAGACGCTCATAATAATGTGTGGAAATCACTCGTTTATGAAAGACAAACAACTGATGCATCGCTACATTTGTTCTGTTGTTTGAAGTTTTTGGGTCAGTGACTATTGATTGCGCCATTTTGGGTGGAATGAGTCACACTTTTTACTAGAAAATAGAATTTTCGATGCATGTGTGTGACAAATATTTAACAACAAAGAATCGGTGTCCTAATACTGATGTCATTATCATGTCAAACATAAAAAATTCTGTTTTCTGAACACGCGAATGAGACGTGACAGGAACTGTTTGGACATCAGAAACATCCTTTAATTTTCACTTTAGGTGTCAGTACCACCCTATAAAAATAAAAAAACCTATGCCATAATATATTTAAAATACATTTATTTCATACTAAGTATACTTTCGAACATATTTATTGACATATCATTTAGGATTTACTGATATAAAATTATATATAAAAAAACTTTCTTTGGAATATTTCTTTATTTCACAATGCACATTTCTTAATATTATGCATAAAATGTGTTCGATTATCACTAATAATAAAGATTTCAGTCAGATCTCATGATCAATCTTTAAATGCAAGATATTTAAAGTGTACCTGAAGTATACTTGTAATAGTTCAATTTCAGCTGAATCAAATATACTTCAGTATACGTTTAGTTGGACTTCAGCACTACTTCCGCACAGTAAAGTACATTAAGTACAAAATTAGTTGTTCCAGTTTAGCAGATTTTAAATATGCCAGTTTAGTATACCAAAAGTACAATTGCAGGATATTTTTATTAAGTACATAAATATGTAAAAGTATTTGTAGTATGTAAGTATTTTAAATATTAGTATATTTTTTCACTAGCTCTATTCAAAAACAATCCATTTCTTCTCATTTTAATCAATAAAAAAATTAATGGACTGCTAGTTAGATTGTTGTGTTAGCAACTTTTCCAAAAACTAACCAATGTAATTTCCATCACACACAATATCAAAACTCCACAGCAGCACCTCATATTCATATCTGAAAACCTGCTGATATGTTACATGATGATTATCGTCTGTAGATGCATGTAAGACGCCTGACGTCTCTGTGTCTGTCTGTCTGTGTCTTGTCTGTCTGTGTGTGTCTGTGTATGTATGTATGTGTGTGTCTGTCTGTTTGTGTGTATGTGTGTGTCTGTCTGTTTGTGTGCGTGTGTGTGCATGTGTGTGTGTGTCTGTCTGTCTGTCTGTGTGTGTGTGTGTCTGTCTGTGTGTGCGTGCGCGTGTGTCTGTCTGTGTGTGTGTGTGTGTGTGTGTGTCTGTCTGTGTGTGTGTGTGTGTGTGTGTGTGTGTGTGTGTGTGTGTGTGTGTGTGCGTGTGCGTGCGTGCGTGCTCGCGCGCGTGCTGCAGGTTCTGGAGACTCAGATGAAGGCAGATCTGGCAGATAAAGACTGTCTGGAGCAGAAACGAGCTCAGCACGAGGAAGAGGCGCGTGAGAAATGTAAACTCATCAGTGAGCAGAAGGCTGTGAGTTTCTCGTCTTCATCTCACATCAACCTCTGACTCCTAACAGACTGTTTGCACAGAAGTGTGTGTGTGTGTGTGAGGATCTCGGTGTTTAGTTGTGTTTGCTGGAGACACACTGACTAGTTCATCCAGCAGAATTTCTGAGCTACTAAAATCCAATCCAAGACCAAAACTTTATGGGTGTTAAATGGGTATTTGTTTGGGATTATATTTTTATGAATATAAAATGTAACCTTTCAGGAATATGTCCATATCATATTTCACCTCGAAAGCAAAAGAGAAAAAAATAAGGAATTATAGTTTGCATAAAACATGAAAATAAAGCTATTATATGACCATATTTTTTACATTTAACAAGTCTCTCTCACTCACCTTTTTTCCAATTATGAAAGCTTATTTTATTAAAAAATATTTATTATTAATTTCAAGTGATGTTTGATATGCTGATCAATCTCTCTTTAAATATTTTTTATTAACTTTAACACATTACAGCACCACAACAATCAAACATTACCAGACACATAGTAAAGGAAAAAAATAACAGCAAGTATGACAAAACAAATCTCATTCTTAATATGAAAAATCAGTTTAGGTATTTGTACATCATGTAGAATCTTAAACATGCAGATCTAAAAAGAAAAAAGTATATTAAATGAATAATGCATTCAAGTTGATTTAACCTGATTTTATCATTATGATGATAAAATATAATTCATAATTTTTCATTATTTGATTTTGTGGTGACATTAGACCTGAGAAAGTTTTGCGAGATTCACTCTTATCATTTTCTAGCCTTTTAGCCCTTGATCCAGTTAACCAGTTAGACTTTAGCTAACTAGATTACCGCCCTGATCGCAGACTCACATGCTCAGTGTATGAAACCGCAGGGTTGTTTAATAATGATGCATTTCCAATATTTACATGCTTAAGTAAACACTGGTGTAGCTCAGGCTAGCAAATTAAAAAGTTTGCGTTATGACAAGTTTATCACTGGCATCCATAAAGTTATTCTGATTTAATTTGGGTTTTTATTAAAACTCAGCTCCTGGCTCTTATGAAGTCCTGTTATTAAAAGTCAAGTTTGTAATTTGCAACACTAGCAGCAACAAATCGTGTGTTTCTCAAACTCTCCTGACATTTACTGTATGTGTAAATTTGATCTTGATGTAGATTTGATGTGTTTTTCTCTACAGACCGTCAAAGCCATGAACAACAAGATGAAGAGTCTGGAGCAGCGGATCGCTGAACTCTCCGAGGCCAATAAACTGGCAGCCAACAGCAGCATTTACACACAGAAAAACATGTAAGAGTCTAAAACATGATGGCAGAAACTGGTCCAGTTCAGAGCATCTTGAGTTTCCAGGCCTGCATTTCCTGAAGAATTATTCACACCACCAGCAAAATGGTTTTTGAGAAGTCTCTCTGGTGAAGCTAGTTAAAAAGCCTGGTGGGCAATTAGTAGAAAAGCATATGCATGAGTTGAGATTAATTTAGGCCTGGTTTCACTAAGCCAGGATCAAGCCATAGTTCAGTTAGGACATTTAAGTACATTTTTATTATGAAAAAAAAAACATTACTGGTTTCCATCTTGAGACAAAACAAATGCATGGATATATTTTAAGATCGATCAGTGCAAGTTTCTTTCATTTGAAACAGCTCAGAATTACATTTAAGTCTGAGCCTTGTCTGTGAAACCGGAGGTTAATGAATTGAATTAGGGGTGTGAGACTAGTCTCTATATGGAGGCAAAAATGCCTCTGTGTGAGTTTGTCTCATTTATTATATATAATATAGTTAAACATCAGATGAGCAAGAGTGGTGTTTTTCCCAAATATCAGCACGATTGCAATGCAATCAATGTAATATTGATTTTCTAATATCGAGAGTTGTTTTTGCTCCCTTTCACCAACGAAAATAGTTCTAAAAGCTTCAATATGGAATGAATCAGAATTTTTGAACGAATCAATGATTCAGTGATCTGTTCATAACAACAGTCAGTTTACTCCAGAATGAATCAGCCGTTTGAACAAATTGAATTTGTTTGGAACTTGTTGTGATATTGTCTCAGTGGCGACAGGTTCCCCAGTAATCAGATTAATGGTTCATCAACAGGTTTTGATTAGTTTGCGCCGATGTTATCTTTGGCCCTTCTCAGTTTGGTATCTTTGGTTTTTAGCACTGTTTAATACATGGTTCCGGAAGCTTTTTCCTCATTCAGATTTTTTATGTATAATTAGGGCTGTAAATCTTTGGGTAAACAGCGAATCGATTTAATTCACCATTCATAGGGTTTCGATTTGATTCAAGAACGATTTCTGCAAATTCGAGGCGATTCACAGTTAAATTCGATGCAATTCAATTAACGATTTGATTCTGCATTCTTTAAGTGTGACAAAATTAGACTAAATGCACATAAAACTGCTGATTTAAATGTTAAATAAAAATTGTGCATTTAGAAACATTGTTTATTACATAACCATTTCGTGTAGTTCTTCATGGGAGTGGGCAGAGCTGAAGAGTTTAATCAAAACCAAACAGAATCATAGGTAATGCCATTTTTTCACATGGAATTTCGCTCATTTAAAAAGTGGAATTGAAATAGAAGTTGATTATTTTAAAAATAAGTGGAAAACAACTTCAACAAAAGCATATACCGTCGATTAACAACCTCATAGCTTATAGTAGGCCTGTCTTTTAAATGTTTATAAGTTATCATTAGAAATTAGCTCCTCTATGGAGCAAATGAATGTTTTTAGGTCATATTAGAATAAATACGTTTTTTTCTGAAGATATTTAAATACTTGTTATTGTAGAGCTGCAAACGACAATCTGGGGAAGCATTTCGCTTGTAATAAATGCTCAATCTGAGCATCTCTGCCGCATCGTTCAACTTCTAAATCAAGTGTTTTAGATTTAATAGCGGACTGAGGAATAGGAATGATTGCAGTTTAGCCAAACAAAATTCTCAGGATGCTTCTGAAACGAGTTTATTGAAGGAGAAATCTAATTAACTCCATTAACAAGGCATCAGACACTGGAAAATCTGAGATAAAACTGAGAAATAATGAATCGCGTCTGTGCGCAGAGATTCAGACCTGTGTTTTTCTCAGGAAAGCTCAGGAGGAGATGATCTCGGAGCTGCGGCAGCAGAAGTTTTACCTGGAGTCGCAGGCCGGAAAACTAGAAGCTCAGAATGCCAAGCTGGAGGAACATCTGGAGAAGATGAGCCAGCAGGAGCAGAGCAGGAAGAGCCGCGTTCTGGAGCTAGAGACCAGACTCAGAGAGGTGAGAGCAGATCCGCTCGCTGCCAGTAGGGTTGGGTACCGAAACACGATACCAATTTGGCACCGGTACCCATGTAACCAAGTATGTACTAGAACCGAATCAGAATGCAGATTCCAGTGCCTCATTTCGGTGCCATGCCTGAACGATCGATTGAAATATTTGTCCTCCGGTTCTCCGAAACGGACGTAAGAAGCATCATCACCGGCACCGCATGTGAAAAATAATTTCCCGACTGTGAAAATGCACGTGAACTCAAGTCGGAAAGCTCTAATAATACAAATCCAACACATCTTTGTAGTAATGCGAGTGTCCATGTTGTTTTCACATTCCGACTTAAAAGCACAACTCGGGGAAATGAGAGCATCCGAGGAGCGTGTGAATGCAGTAATTACACTTGCTCTGATGGCTTCCGTTAACTAAGCTAAACATGCTTAAATTAAAATGCCTAAAGCTAAACCTCCCTTGTATTCACATTTCTAAACCTGTTGTCCAACAAAAGGGAACATTATAACCTTTTTACTCCACAACACCAGTCACATGCTTCCTTTTGTGATCTGATGTAGATTCTTGTCACAGAATGAGGCAGAAAATATGTTCCATAGGCTACTTCAAAAAAATATACATCGATTAGCAATGGATTTATAAATATACTTAATTATTATGAAAATACCAGAGATGGCTTGAATAACACAGATAAACTATATTGTCGCAGTCAAGTGTTTATTGTCTTTGTTTTATCATTCAAAACGTTTATATGTTCTGTTCACTCAATTACAGCTATAATAGCTATGCCTTTGTCCATATAAGGGATTTCCTGGAGGGTCATGAGTTCCGCTACTTCTGTGACTGGATATGTGGATTTTCTGTGCGAGTGTGCCCTCTGGCGTCCAGTATGAATGAAACAGACATCATGTGTTTATAGTGCTAATGGCAAATCCATCATTTTTGGGGGAATTTATATATATTATTTATATATATATATATATATATTATTATTTTTATTTTTTTAAGTATCGGTTTAGGCACCGGAACCGTTTTAAAAGTATCGATTTGGCACCGGTAACGAAAAAAACCCAAACGATATCCAACCCTAGCTGCCAAGGAGCATAGGACAGAATATACGACTACACGATATAGTGATGTTTTTACATGCACTTTTTAGTTATAGAATTGTTTACTCTAATTCATTGTTAAAATGTAAACATTTAAATGGTGGTGGTACTAAACAGATTTTTTCATGCATACATGAATGGCTCCAGTGATCAGTCATGCCACATTTAAAAAAGCGTCTAAACAACACACTCAAAACACATATTTTTTAATATTTAGATTTATGTGTTTGAATTGCATATAAAATTTCCATCCATTTGAATAACACATTTTTAACAAACTAATAAACTTTGTGATGTCCATTTGTCAGTCAAATATAAATGAAGCAGGTCCAATTTCTGCGCTCAAAAAAACTCACAACATGCTTTATTATTAACTAACTGCATCTGTTGCATTTCATTTAAATAATCATATTTTCAAAATGCGTTTATTCAGATTGCTTGGTTTAAAATTATGAACGGGGTTAAAATATGGCTGACAATATTAAATTAAAATGTATGAGACATTTATAATAAATTATAATATAAAATAATTATTGAAACTAATTGGATTTGTTATTGATAAATATATAAAGCAAGTTATTACAGAAATCTGACCGGTTTCATTTATGTACAGTATGACTGACAAATATGCGTTGCATTAAGTTTAGTTGGTTAATCCAAATGCATAGAAATTTTAAATGTAATTCAAATACATAAATGTCAAATTTAGGCATAAATATATTTTTTTGTGCTGAGACTTTGGTTCATATCTACCATATAAGCGATTATTGCATGGCAGGCACTCTACAAATAATGTTTAGTGAAGTTTTGTTTGTGCATCAACAGAAAACAGCACAGACTAAAAAAAAAATGTGTTCGTCGGAATTAATTAAAAAAGCATAAAATATTTTTGTTTGGTGAAACTTAGGTACATCACTAGTGTTGAATGTGAGAATTACTGGTTCAATGTGAATGTTAGAAGATATCCTAGAAGACTTCCAAACCTGTTGGTGGTTACCAGACTAGTTTGCATTGGTCAGGGCTGGTTTGAAAGTCTTAGAGGAGACTGACTGTGAGGAATAAGTTGTGAACGAATGCTCATTGTGATATGAGAGACATGACCGTGTCACAGTAGTAGTGCCGTTATTACACATGATGCTTGACAGTC